ATAAAATGATCCTAATTGTGTTTCAGGTTGGTTAGTTTAGCAACATAGATAATTATTTCAAATTCCTTTACATCACAGCAATTTCATTATTTGTAGTTTATATCCTAAGTATAAAAATAATTACAATCAATAGTGTGCATTTCAGTGACAGCGATAAGAGTAACTTTGACACACTTATGCATGAAACAATTGATGTCTGAGATCTCCTGTAGCATAATTTATTGGAAGAGAGTAAGGGTTTATATTATTTTGCTATGGCTGTATAAATTACCACAGACCAAGTGGCTTAAAACAACAGAAATGTATTGTCTCACAGTTCTGGAGGCCCAAAGTCAAGGTACTGGCAGAACCCTACTCCTTCTGAAACTGGGTTTTTCCCTCCTTGCCTCTTCCTAGATCATAGTGTTGCCAGCAGTCCTTGGTAATCCTTGGCTCCTGGCTGCATCAGTCCTAACTAACTCCTCTACCTTCACATTGCATCCTCATTTTTCTGCCATGTATTTCTGGAAAATGGCCAGATTTTGCAATTTTCCAAGGACTCTAGTCATATTGCATTCAGGACCACCATAATGTCCTCATCTTAATTTGATCAAACCTGCAGAGACCCTATTTCCAAACAAGGTTACCTTCTCAAGTACTAGAAATTAGGACTGTAACATATTTAGGGGATGTGTCAAATCAACCCATTATAATATATAGATGGAACAGTATTAATGGTGGTTGAAACTTGCTTGAAGTTTCATTGTACATTTTGCTCTTTTATATTGCTGCAAATTTTCCACAATTATTTTTTTTTTTAAATTAGGTACCAACCATACAATTTCTAGAATGTTTCTCTTTTCCAGAAACATAAACATCTGGAGGATGTTTACAAATGTGCCATCCTACCCTCTATCATGGTGATATATATAATTCCCTGCATACAGCTCCTTCATTCTCTAACTTAGAAACTTTGTGAGACTGAAAATACAAGCAACATTTTTATAGAAATGACTTGGATCATTTTATGAATCTGGCTGAAGAATAAGGTGGGGAAGGACACTTCAGGAAATAAATCTGGAAGGTTGACTTAGGTTCAAAGACTAATGATAACTTCACCCCCATCTATCCTATCACTGGTCCTTTAAAGTCTCATCTTAGATATCAGAAAACTCTAAACAGTATCTGCATCCCTTGCCTACCTGCACCCACCACCATCTAAGGACAGTTTTGATGGTGGTCTAAGCTCATGTTTGCATCCATTTCTACCTTGCGTGTTTGTTGTAGAAATTATCACATTGTGTTGTAATTGTCTATTCATTTCTTTATTTCTATGCCAAACTATAAACTCCTCGAAGAAATTAACTGTTTCTTTTCACTACAGGATCTGTAGTATACTGTAGATTACCAGTACCTACCTTATAGCCTAACATACACTAGGTACCTTTTAACTATTTGATAAATAAATAAAGTAAGGAGCAATGAATACTTTTTGAAATAGCAAGATGAGCTTTCTGTATAAGAAGGTAAATCCAGTGGGAAATAATACTAGAAAGGTGAGATACTGGGGTCAAAGGAACAAATTGAAGGTCAGTAGCAATAGTCACTGTAGAGTAAGGAAATTCTGATCTTGGGTGGATCAGTAATGGCTGTTGGAGGCCTTTCACCTAATGGGATTTAAGAGAACTTGGTGACTGCCTAGACTTGAAATGCAGGGGAAAGAAGATTTCAAGATGAAACCAAACATTTATAGAAAAAGTCATTGAAATGGTTATGATGTCGTTTTGAACTGGGAAACATAGGAAAAAAAGCTTTGAAAAGGAATTGTTGGTAAAACCCAATGTTCAAGAACCAGCTGTGAAGATAGAAGGTGCTGAAAGATGAAAGAACAAGCCAGACTGACACAGGATTGCACCAAGTGCAATTTACTAAGGACTTACAGACAGAAGTGTGCTTCGGGTGGCAGCAAGGCAGAAAGATGCCCATACCCTGAGGAAAGGGAGTATATACTAAGCAAAAATATCCTGTGGCTATCTGAAATTTACCTGAACTTTCTCAAAACTATTAACATGTTTTTGGTTTTTTTTTTATTGTTGGTTGTTCAAAACATTACATAGTTCTTGATATATCATCTTTCACACTTTGCTTCAAGTGGGTTATGTATTAACATGTTTAACTACAGTTAAGAAACAGTTCCGTGCCAGTGGCAGGCTAGAAAGAGAAAATTCAGGGTTGTCCTTCACATAGGAGGTGTGGGGATGGAGAGAACATTGAAGAGACACTCTCAGTATAGGAAGAGCCCTGGGAGGATAATCTAGACCTAGTGACAGGAACTCATCATGGCGATGGTCATTAGCAAGGTCATTCTGAGCTCAAAACTTTTGGCCTAAGTTTTAACCTTATTCATGAGGTAGCTCAGGCCTGTGCTTGATCTTGGAACAGAAGTTGAACTGCACCTTAGGAGATATACTTGTAGAGCTGTAGCAAATTCTGAGCAGATCATGAGGAAGTTAGGATGTCCTCAACGAAGACTCATATCTGTTTCAGTGGAAAATATGAGACTAAGGCATTGGCACTTTAGTGCTAGGATGAGTTTACCACAATTGATATGGACCCTTGTAGCAATAATTACTTTCATTACAAATAAAAATGTCCATGTCTCATTTTCCTTATTCTCCTCTAAACCAAACTTTCAAAAACATTTTCCATTTGATGTTTTTGCTTTCTCACTTGCCATTGTTTCCTCTGTATACTCCAGTAGGACCTTGTTCCTTACTATTTCACTAAAAGACTGTACTAAGCTCTACACTGCCTCCATCTTCCCCATAGTCAGGGTTTTTAGTCCTCAAGGTATTTGCCACAATTGATTATTCACTTTTTCCTGGAGTACTTTTTATTCTCTTTGGCTTCTGGAACATCATACTGTCCTGATTTTTTTTCTTAACTTCTAAATGTTGTAGTAATCAAGTAATTTCTCTCCATTCTTTGTCTTTAAATAAAATCTGTATGCATATCTTCAGCTCTGACCTTTTCCCAGCTCTCCAGAATAATCTATATAACTGACTATTTCATTGTCTCCCTTCAGTGCCTACTAAGTCGTAAGGCAGTTTTTGTTGTTACCTTATGAGCTAGAATCCAGAGTGCAAAATCTTACTGCTTTCTTCCCAGCACATGTACAAACCTATAAACAATGCCAATAAACACAGGGGAAAGTGTTCCAATACTTTAGGCCCAGATAAGGAATTAAAATCTGATTGTTTAATTTAGTATATCTTAGGTCGATAGGAACTAGGAAGATATTAAGCAGAGAATTTAAAAATTCTCTTTCCCTTATAATAAGCACCAAAAGTATGGGTGTGGGTAAATATAAAACCAGTCAAGGGGGATGTGCTATATGAGAAGAATTCAATACCTTTAGGAATACTATTTTTAAAGCGGGAAGAGAAGAAGAGTTATTCATGAAGAAAACTAAGAAAGAGAAAAGCAAAATATATAATGTTCACTAAGCAGAAAAAATGTGTGAATGTAAGAAAGATGAGAAAGAAAATGTCAAATAGGAATCTCAAACACAGTAAGGAGCAAGAATCAGCCAGGTGTGGTAGCACATGCCTGTAATCCCAGTGGCTTGGGAGGCTGAGGCAGGAGGATCACAAGTTCAAAGGCAGCCTCAGCAAAAGCAAGGTGCTGAGCAACTCAGTGAGACCCTTTCTCTAAATAAATACAAAAAATAGGGCTGGGGCTGGGACTCAGTGTTCAAGTGCTCCTGAGTTCAATCCCTGGTACCCCCACTTCCAAAAGTGAGAAAAAGCAGCAATAATCCCTTCAAACAATAATGTCTAGCTTAGGGAAAAATGACAAACTACAAGTACAACCATTCTTCTCACAAAATTTAATATTTACTGAATTGTATTCTTTTCTAATTGAAATATTTATTAAATTCAGGTCTTTGCCATTTTTCATGTTATCCCTGCTTTACATTTTTATATTCTTGCCTACTGTTGATCTTGGACTCTTTTCAACCCTCCCTGCATAGCTTTTCTGGCTTGATGCACGAGCTGCCTTTCCAGCTCACAACCCTTGGCTTCATGCCTACCTTGTGGCCCCTCTGTAAATTAACTCAGTAATGCTGTGCGAACTGGCCCTAAAACCTCCCTGACCACCCATGTGCTGTCCTGAAAAGAAGTTTCTACAAGGGGCTTAAAATATGTGTATGTGAATGTATAATGTATGAAATTAGCATGTACAAATATCTAACATTCTAGAAACTAGGAATATGTAAATAATTAAGAAAGATTAATAAAACAAGTTTTATGTATAATTGGGTTGCTATCAAGAGGATCTATAGGAAGATAGGATGTGCTGATCTGCTTATGAAGAACACTTAGAAAAGTAAAGTGATCTATAAGGAGAGAAATATAGAAAGATACATAATAGTATATGTATGTATATATATGTGGGTATGTATGTGTATAAACACTCTGGTAAGTGCTAGGATAAGGGGAACAGAATATGAAAGTTCAGAGTCAAGCAAGGACTCATAGAGTTAGCTTTTGAACTCAATCTGAAGGGTACAAAGGAATCTGGGCATAAAACAAAAGAAAGAAAACTTTCCAGATTAGGAATACTTACACAAAGAAAAGGAATGTTGAGATGATACTTTAGGAGTTCTTCATGCGCTTTGGATTCTGATCCTAGACTGTACTTTCTAACTCATGTTCCCCTTTTGATATCTTCTGTCTCACTCTCTTTAAATGGGTTCATTTTATTCATTTCTTTCATACCTTGTACTTCTACTCCATTGATTTTTTTTTTCTATACTGCCTAACTCTCCAATTTTTTCTCTTCTTATATTTTTTTGCAAGATACCAGGACCTTCTTTAATAGCATCAATATATATTGGTTCTTCACATTTAATTCAACAAGCTGAATTCTGTGATATTATGATATTCACATTTAATTCAAAGAGCTAAATTCTGTGATATTACATGGGTCACCTTCAATTTCTTTTTTTCCCCCTCCAGCATGGAAGAACTATCATAAGACCACGAAGTCAACTCAAACACAGGACTCTTCATTTCAGAGATTGATAATGAACAGATCCAGAAGGAATGGACTTGGACCCTTGGATTTGAAATCAGAAAAATCTTAATATATGAAGGCAAATTAGAGAAAAAACAGGATTAAAAAGGAAATTTTTCAGATAGTTTCAGTCACCCACAAAAAAACCCTAACTGTAGAAAGAAGCCATAAAAATGTTGAATTTAGCCAGAACTTCAACCCAAAGTCAGTAGTTGTTAGGCAACAGATAGTTCCCAGAGAGAAACCACCACCAAAATATGAAAAAAAAGGGGAACACTTTGAAACATAATTCAAATTTACCTAATCAGCCAAAAATGACAGCAGGTAAATGCTATCAATGTAGTATGTGTGAGTAAACCTTTATTAATACTTCTTCCCTTCATAAACATGAGAAAAAATCATAGTGGAGAGAAATTATTTAAATGTAAAGACTGTTCCAAAGCCTTTAGCCAAAGTTCAGCTCTTATTCAACCTCAAATAACTCATACTGGAGAGAAACCTTATATATGTAAATAATGTGGGAAAGCCTTCACTCTCAGTACATCCCTGTATAAGCATCTAAGAACCCACACTGTCGAGAAATCTTATAGATGTAAGGAATGTGGTAAGTCCTTCAGCTGAGGGTCAGGGCTTTTTATACATCAGAAAATCCATGCTGGAGAAAACCCTTATAAATATAATCCAGGTAGGAAAGCATCTGGTTGCAACACATCCCTTCCTGGTCAAAGAGTTCATCCCAGAAAGAAGTCCTATTTGTGTAAGGAAATGTAGCAACACCTTTAAATCTAGTTCATCCCTTCATTATCATCAGATAATTCACACTGGAGAGAAACCTTTCAAATGTGGTGAATGTGGGAGAGCCTTCAGTCAGAGTGCATCACTTATTCAACACGAATGAATTCACACTGGCGAAAAGCCCAATCGATGTAATGAATGTGGAAAAGGCTTCACTTCTATTTCACGACTCAATAGACATTGAATAATTCATATTGGTGAGAAGTTTTATAATTGTAATGAATGTGGCAAGGCCTTAAGTTCCCATTCAACTCTTATCATTCATGAGAGGATTCACACCGGAGAGAAACCATGTAAATGTAAAGTGTGTGGGAAAGTCTTCAGGCAGAGTTCAGCTCTCATTCAGCATCAGAGAATGCACACTGGAGAAAGACCCTACAAATGCAATGAGTGTGAGAAGACATTCAGGTGTAACTCATCCCTTAGTAATCATCAGAAAATCCATACTAGAGAGAAACCTTATCAATGTGGGGAATGTGGGATGTCATTTGGCCAAAGTTCAGCCCTTATTCAACATCGAAGGATTCATACAGGAGAGACCCTTTAAATGTAATACTTGTGGGAAAACATTTAGACAAAGCTCCTCACGTATTGCACACCAGAGAATTCATACAGGGGAGAAACCCTATGAGTGTGACACATGTGGGAAATGTTTCAACCATAGGTCATCCCTTACTAATCACTATAAAATCCATATGGAAGAAGAACCCTAGAAAGTAGATTTGCTTGTGTAAAAGCCTTAAACCAAAGCTCATCAGAGAATACATACTTCAAGGGTGATGTAATAAATGTAATGGATATTGAAAAAGCCCAAAATCATTTAGTGCCCATTAGCTATCAAATCCCATGAACAAATCTTGATTATGTAATAGCTAAAAGGAAAGCATTCATACCTGCTGCTTTTTAAAATAACTTGAGGATTCATAAGTGGAGACACTAACTTTGGGCATTTGTAAAATAAAAGGTGTTTGATTTTCCTCTTTCCTACAGCAGTGTAGTCTAGCTATCACATGTGATCATCATAAACATCAAGTGGATAGGGATTTCTCTGGTTTTCTCATAAAAACACCAAACTCTACACTGGTGATATTTTTTATAACATTTTAGTAGCATATGAGTGAATGAATCAAAGAAATTATACATTTTTAATGAAAAGGACCAAAATAAAAGATTAAAATAAACTGTAAACTACCTCTCAGTCTCTGGGATTTATCCTTTTCTTGTCTTAATGTCAAACTTTGCACATGAATTTCATTTAAAATAAAAAAGATTTCAGGGGCTGGGATTGTGGCTCAGTGGTTGAGCGCTTGCCTTGCACATGAGAGACCGTGGGTTCGATCCTCAGCACCACGTAAAAATAAATAAACAAAATAAAGATATTGTGTCCATGTATAACTAAAAAAAAAATTAAAAAAAGTTTTCATTAAAGGAGAAAGAAAAATCTGGTCTCTGATTTAGTAATTACTGTGAATTAAAAATTTTCACCTAATTTTTCTTTTAAGAAAAAAAATATTGCTTTGAAATTATTTATTATGAAGATATACCCACTAATATCTTGTGAGCTGTCACCTAGGGGTATTAAATACAAAATAGGCAACTATATCAATTTTAAAGCTACTATGAGGTTTTCTCATTAAAAAATAAAATAAAATTTAGCCAGCCTCAGTAATTTAGCAAGGCTCTAAGCAACTCAAAAGCTCGAAAAATGTTTTTGTGGTGTGAATGCTCTTTCTCAAAATGTTGAAATTCTAACCTCTGAGGTTATGTTAAGAAATAGGGCCTTTGGGGAAGTGATTAAGTCATGATAGTGGAGTCCTTGTGAATGGAGTTTATGCCCTAATAAGATAGTCCCAGACCTGGTGAGGTGGCCCACACTTGTAATCTCAGCAGCTTGGGAGGCTGAAGGCAGGAGGATCACCAATTCAAAGCCAGCTTCAGCAACCTATCCAGGCCCTAAGCAACTTTGGAAAGACCTATCTCAAAATAAAGTTGTTTTTTTTTTTTTTTTTTTTTTTTAAAGGGTTGAGTACATAGCTCAGTAGTTAAGCACCCCTGGGTTCAATCAACGGTACCAAAAAAATACAACCCTGGTATAACTTGCTCTGCCCTTTAATCAGAGGATGCCATCTTTGAACCAGATGACCCTCACCAGACAACCGACTAGCACCTTAATCCTGGACTTCCCAGCCTCAACTGTGAGAAGTTTCTATTGTTCAAAGTTACCCAGTCTTGGATATTTTGTTATAGCAGCCCAAATAGACTGTCATATTATTTTGTAAATTATTTTATAAACTTGGTGTTTTTCCCTCCAAATGCTAGTGATCAAACCTAGGGCCTCCTGCATACTAGGCAAGCACTGTATACTACTAAGCTACACCCCGCAACCCAGTATTTTTTTTTTAATCCCTGCTTCAAGATGTGTACTGTATTACACATTGCAAATTTTAAGAAAAAAGGCACAGACCTTCCTTCAAGAAGCTATGGAGTAGGGGAAGAGAAGGGAGTTGAGGGACTATGAAAGAAATAGGGAAATGTGTCACTGTATATAACTGCTTGTTTTATCAGACAAAACAGTTTAATTATGACAATATGTTGCAGTGCAAGAATGTTGTAAAGTTTTGCACTGGATGAAAAAAGAGCTGTAGGGGGCCTGGAGATATCAAAGAAAGCTTTGCAGAGGCAATGAGGCCTGAGCCATTTTGGATGATAAAAACTCTTGCAAAAGTGAGATAAGCATTTCAAATAAGTAAACTACATGTTCAAGAGTACAGGTGAGTAATATGGCACTTTAGGAAATGTGTAGAGCTAGTGAGCAGAAGAATAAAAGATATTAAATCCTGAGGAGAAGGCAGAGGCCACATAACAAAAGGCCTCATTTGCCATGGTAAGGAACTTGTGTTTTATCCTAAAATTAATACTCGGCCAAATGTGTGTGGGGCATGCCTGGAATCCCAGTGACTCTGGAGGCTGAGACAGGAGGATCACAAGTTCAAAGCCAGCCTCAGTAATTTAGCAAGGCTCTAAGCAACTTAGCAAGACCTTGTCTCAAATTTTTAAAAAGAGATGAAGATGTGGCTCAGTGGTAAAGCCCTTCTGGGTTCAATCCCAGTACTAAAAATAAATAAATAAAATTATATTACTATCAAGCAAGGGAATTTGTTCAGCAACAATGTATAGAGGATCAATTTAGGAGGAGGTTAAAGAAACCTAGATAGACTGATGCCTAGAAATTTAGACTATTGTGATTCAAGTGATAAATGAATGAGAATACAAATTCAAGCAAGTGCTGCATGGATGAAGAATAGGAGACAAATAATCCTTTATTAGAATAAACAGGGTTATCCCAGGCAAATAGAAGAGGGTGCTGAGTAACAAGAAAGCTAATCTGGCCCACAGATAAGGCTGCCAGACAGATGTCCTATATTTAATGATTACATCTTGAATCCTGCACTGTCAGGACACCCTAAATGTATTCAGAAATTTTTTTCCAATTAGTAAAATATCAGCAGTTAGAGCTATTTTTTCTGCCTCTGTAATTGTCATTTAAATCACCTAAGTAGCAACACAAGCTGAAATCACCTCTACCAAGTGATCTGAGCAACCCTTTATGGTGTCTTCTGTATGTTTGGCTAAGGAAAGATGAAAGAGAACTAAGAGTTGAAAATACTTGCTTTCCATCTTAAAGAAAGGATAAGAATATTGTTTTGGCCAAAGTCCCAAGTTGTAAACAAATAATTATTAATAATTAGATGTCCAAACAGCACACATGCTCTAAAACCAGGGCCAGCCTTATTCCAGTGGACCTCCTTCTGAAAGTTAGGAAGTTAATGCCAACCTCTAGCTTCTGAAAGACCATCATCAGTTTCATGCTTCTAGTCAACAATCAGAAAGGACCTCACTTCAGAAACCATGTTCCTGAAAGGACACCAGTCAATACCCTATTCTAGTGACCACATTAACACAGTTGAAAATCTGTCTGTTTATAAACGCTCCTGCTTCTAAAAATCCACCAATCCTGGATACTGAACTTTAGGAACCTTGGATAACATCAGCTTTGGCTTTCTTCAGAGAGACTGTTCTTGCAAGTGCAGCTCTCCCGTGCAGGAACACGTGAAGCTCACCTTTTCTGCATATCAAGTTTAATTTATGGTTGAGTTTGCAAGTCTGCAACCATTTCAACAGTTCAACTTACTGTTAATTTACTGTTAGCCTCATGAATGAGACTATTAAATTCAGTATTTTAAATTCTTGCAATGATTGCTATAATCTATTTATATTTTTTGGTAAGAACACTTAACTTTACATCTACCCTATTATCTATTTTTATTTGTGTATATTTGTATCTCAAATTCAAGTGCAAATTTTTTATTAATTTTAAAAACTTTGGGTTTCTGTTGAATGAAGGGAAAATCCTTTGAAGCTCTTCAATGTGCAGTTGGTTATTTAGAATCAAAAACAATGGCTAGTCAGATGTATACTCCAGCATACACTAGTAGTTAAGCTAAGAGGTATATTATTTCCTCAATTTGTCCTGTAGAAATGGATAATGTAACAAATTTCCTGATTTAAAAAATTCAGATGAAAATAAAATAATCACAGCAGAAGTTGTAATGACCTTCCACACTATATTTCATCTCCTCAATCTTTCCAGGACAAATGACCAGCTGAACATACCAAAGGTATTCTCTGATTTTGAAATTGCAAACAAATTTTCAGGTGCCAGAAAAAAACTGCAATAATAAAATGTAATAGCTCTTCTTACTATTATTGAGATTATTAAAGATTTAAAATGCCTCATCTTTTTTTACAAATATCCCCATAAGGGGAAAAATTTCTCTGAGTGATGCTTTACTCCTGAAAAATCTTGCTTGGTAGGCTATTTTATTCCTTCCAGATGAGACCTCAGAAACAATACAAATTTTTTTTTCAGAAACTCATTTAATTGAGTTGAGTGAAGTAAAATTGTATCACTTTGGTTGAGAACAAATTTAGGTAGATGCATAAAAGTGCAAATAATTTTTAGTCAAAATTAAAGCAAAGTATAAAAGATTCTGTGAAAGGTGTTGGCTGTCCTTCCTGTATTCTGCATTTCTGCATAATGCTACACAGACACCTGTTAGCCTCCTATTAACATTGGTCTAATCATCTGGAATTTGTTTCCTTAATTCAGCATTTAAACTGAGCAGTTAAAAGGATTTTTGTTATTTTGTGGGCATTCAGAATTTCTTTTTTTTTTTTTTTTGGGGGGGGGGGTTAAGGGAATTTTTAATATACAACAAGTAATTCCAAAAGTATGAGTACATATGGACAAAGCTTAGTAATTTAGAATTCACTTTTGTAAAAGCATGACAAATATTAAATGTTATATTTGCATTTTGAACACTGCAACATAAATATAAAACACAAAACATCCAAAGTTAACACTGATATACCACACCCAACTTGGATTTAGATACTGAGCATTTTATATTTCATAGAAAGAAATTTTCAGTTTTGTCAATGCTTATAGCATATACTATTATTCCTACCAAAATCTTCATGAAATTTAAAAGGTTGGTATTAAAAGTAATTTCTTTTTTTGAATGTTCTAAAACATGCCAGTATGGATTAACCTTCAAATTTTCAGGGCATAAAAGATACACAAATAGAGTATATATTTTAATACAGGATAATTCTGTTTACAATTATGACAAAAATACCTTCAATTTTCAGACATTAAAAAGAAAGAAAGAAACCTAAGCAAACAAAAGGTATTTTGGGTCAAGTTATTTCTTAGTACGAATAATATATCATACACCAATCAGTTTTCCAGCCAACAGCATTAAAAATTTACCACTATTAATTGTTAAACAATGCATTTACAAGGTGAAAGATCAAAGAAAACTTAAGAACAACAAAAAAACCTCAAAAGGATTCCAAATCCTAAAATAAGAAATAAGAAATCTCCAAATTAAAAAATTTCAAATGTTGCTCAGAAATTTTTTATGCATTACTTGTACTCTCATTTTAACAGCTTGACATATATAATTTTATACTTAAAAAGACTCTAGCTAATTGTTTAATAATATTTATAGAATGTTACCTCTTTGGGTAGACATGTTTCACACAATAGATTTTAATTAAGAAGAAATCACTTGATAGTTTTAATCACAATTTATGATTGATTTATAAGTGGATTAATAATCTATTCAATAATTT